AGATTTATTTTTAGCCAATTTTGTGACTTTTTTCTAAACTCATAAATGTTTTGAAATGATTAAAAAGAATTTAATAAATGTCTCAATGAGTCAATGATCTGTTCATTTTGATTATCGTATTATAAAACCATTGTATGAGTAAAATAAAGATCTATGAACTGTTAAAATCTAAGACTATTGTCCTCCGATTCTGGATGTGATTCAACAGAGTTTGATTCATAAGTGTCGATATCTTTGTCTGTATCGCATTCATTTACTTCTTGGGTAATGGTGTTAATGATCTGAAACTCGAGTTTGGGTGCAATCGGCAGAAGACAAGAGTCCATAAGAAGAGAACGACTCGATTGGCTATACTTCGGCCGCAACTGAGGTCTCGGGTATAAGAAGTTGTGAGCATTTGACTCGTATTTGCAAATAATAAAGTTCTTGTCGTCCGTTAATTCAATGACTATTTGTTCGTCTAATATATGAAATAAGAAAAATGAAAGTAATCTTAAATTGAAACAAATATAACAAGAAATACCGGAAAGAAAACGAAAAAGTTGTTGATTAGTGACACAATCGAAATGTTTATCGAAGTAGAAGTGCTCGTAAATATGAATTGGAAATTTGGGTGCAAATTGTGAACTTATGGCCAAACAGTTGAACAATTTTATTCGTAAGTAAAGTTTGGATTTATTCAAAGTGATGCGAACACCTGGACACGATATCTGATAGTGAATACAATAATTGATTTGTATTTTGAGAATATTCACACTTTCATAGCTTACTAACCATACAAATTCTTATATCCGCTAAAATTCTCATTTCTTAAAACACTTGAACCTGGGTTACCTTATATTAATACCTGTATAGTTAGATATTTAGACATTTTCAAACATAATTAGATTAAGTTACTGTACTTTATAAACCAAACAAATATCAATCATTTATTACTGAACCTACAATTTTACTATAAACTTGCAACATAAAAATAAATATCAATATTTTTGTTATGAATACAATGTATCGATTTCTATAGCAATTATGAGGTCTATGAGTTTATTGACTTACAGTATTTGTATTCAAATAATTTTAGACTAACTTTTATATTCCAACTTAGAGTTGAGTTACAAATTAAATGCACTATCATTTGGACCAATATAAATAAACTATAATTAACTGCAATATCCTATACTATAATTTGAATCTCAATTCTTGAATTTTAATAAATACTCTATTTCAAAATGTAAGTTATTAATATACAATACATTTAAAGTCATGTATTCTATATTAGCTGTAAAATCAGTGGTCACTTTGAAAAACTATTGTTCCGATGTCTATTACCGATACTTAAATTACCATTACAGGCAACTCACCCGATATCTTAAGCAAAATAAAATCCACTGAATAACTTATTCAGTGAATAAGTTATTAGTTTTCAAAAGTAAACGCAAAATAAATCAACAATTTTTTAATTTTCATATCAAAGTATTTGATTTTCTTTTACTGTATAACAAAAAGTAGTTCTCTTAATATTAATACAAAATTTCAAATTATGAAATGATTTCTAATGCAACCAAATAACGATTTAAATGCTATAATACAATAATGTTAATCCAATGAAAAACAACAATTTGCGATCAAGTAATGGATATATAGTATGACTGAATCACATTATTTTGAGTTTTAATTAGAATTTAGATTTAAAAAATAATCATTACAATTAGCTCAGGGTAACGATGACGTAAAAATAGGATGAATTGACCGATTTATTCTCGATCTGATACCTGGTGTGGGCCGGGATCAGTATCTCGTGACCCGTTTCTACTGACTTCTTTTGCTTGCCGTTCTCGGCGGTCACCAAACACTCGCCACAAATCACATACAGATGAGTGACGGCTAATGCGCTAAACCGCGTCTCTTTGACGGCATCCCTCTCTAACCGCATCACACAATGCAAGCCATCGGTTGGGTTGGACTGACCCGGGAATGCAGTGAAACAGTAGAAGACTCCGTCGTCGCGAATACTCTTCACGAACTTCATG